CCCTAGTTCGTTTCCCAGAGTTAGGAGTCTTTATGTTCTGTCTCCCTTTCTGATATTTCCTACCCATTTCTTCTCCCTTCCCTTCTATTCCCTTTCACTATTATTTATATTCCCCAAATGAATGAGACCATATAATGTTTGTCTTTCTCTGATTGACTTATTTCACTCAGCATAATACCCTCCAGTTCCATCCACGTTGAAGCAAATGGTGGGTATTTGTCATTTCTAACGGCTGAGGAATATTCCATTGTATATATACTAGACCACTTTCTTGCACCACACACAAAGATAAACTCAAAATGGATGAAAGATCTAAATGTGAGACAAGATTCCATCAAAATCCTAGAGGAGAACACAGGCAACACCCTTTTTGAACTTGGCCACAGTAACTTCTTGCAGATACATCCACGAAGGCAAAAGAAACAAAAGCAAAAATGAATTATTGGGACTTCATCAAGATAAGAAGCTTTTGCACAGCAAAGGATACAGTCAACAAAACTACAAGACAACCTACAGAATGGGAGAAGGTATTTGCAAATGATGTATCAGATAAAGGGCTGGTTTCCAAGATCTATAAAGAACTTCTTAAACTCAACAGCAAAGAAACAAACAATCCAATCATGAAATGGGCAAAAGACATGAACAGAAATCTCACAGAGACATGGCCAACAAGCACATGAGAAAATGCTCTGCATCCCTTGCCATCAGGGAACTATAAATCAAGACCACAATGAGATCCCACCTCACACCAGTGAGAATGGGGGAAATTAACAAGGCAGGAAACCACAAATGTTGGAGAGGATGTGGAGAAAGGGGAACCCTCCTGCACTGTTGGTGGGAATGTGAACTGGTGCAGCCACTCTGGAAAACTGTGTGGAGGTTCCTCAAAGAGTTAAAAATAGATCTGCCCTACGACCCAGGAATGGCACTGCTGGGGATTTACACCAAAGATACAGATGCAGTGAAACGCCGGGACACCCGCACCCCGATAAGCAGCAATGCTTATCCATTTTCCACCTTAGGGCAATAATTTCTACTTTTTCACCATTTCAAGCAATGATGTAGGAACAGCCTTATAGAAATCTTTTTTTTTTTTTTTGCACCTGAGAGCTTCTTGAGTTTACATGCTTACAATAGGAATTTATGAATGCTATGATAAATGCATGTTTAACATTACAAAGTAATGCCAAATCGTTTTTACAAAGTAACTATACAAATTTCATTTCTCATGAGCAATGGTTGGGAGTTCCATTTCCCTATATCCTTATCACTGTTTTATGTTAGCACACTTCTTAATTACCAGTCTGATATGTGTGAAGTGGTATTTTGTGTCATCTTCATTTACATTGTGTTTATCACTAGTGATGTTGAACATTGTTTATTGGCCTTTGTTATAATCAGAATTCATTTGTAGGAGACAAACCAACAGAACTATTTTAAGCAGAAAGGATTTTTTTTTAAGATTTTATTTATTTATTCATGAGAGACAGAGAGAGAGAGAGACAGGCAGAGGGAGAAGCAGGCTCCATGCAGGTAGCCCGATGTGGGACTCATTCCCGGGTCCCCAGGATCACACCCTGAGCTGAAGGCAGAAGCTCAACCACTGAGCCACCCAGGCGTCCCAGGCAGAAAGTATTTACATGGAACAATTTTTTAAAAATTGTTGCAGGACACCTGGGTGACTCAGCAGTTGAGCACCTGCCTTTGGCCCAGGGTGTGATCTGGGAGTCCTGGGATCAAGTCCCACATCGGGTTCCCTGCCTGGAGCCTGCTTCTGCCTCTGCCTCTCTCTCTCTCTCTCTCATAGATAAATAGAATCTTTAAAAAAAAATTGTTGCAAAGACTGAAAGAGTGGATTCTAGACTAGATCTCTGGGAATACTCCCAGAAAAACACTGCAAAACTGGTGATCTACTCTATCTATCAAAATCAAGAGCTGCTCTATCAAAATGATGAACCATTCATATTGTTTAGTCCAGAAGCTCACTGCCTCTGGAACACACTACAGCAGCTAGATTTCCACCCCTCAAAAATATATGACCCAAACTCTGTCTCTCAACCTCCAGAATACTGGTAATGGCATTTAGATTTGAAATAACCTGATTCATTGAGCCAAAATTAGGCCTTCCTGCTAAACTGTAATAATACTTTGAACATATCTCTTATAGAAATTGTTAGGTGTCAGTTTCTACCTTAAGAGGTCTTTGAGGTTAGTATCAGTGTCATATTTAGAAATGATTGAATGGATTAATGCATAATTACAAATAGTTATCCACACATCTCTTGAATCATTTATGGGATGAATTGGTGACATTCAATTAGACAATGTTGAGAGATCTCAGGAGAAGAGATAATGAGTTTTTGTTTGAACATACCTATGTGGAAGTGTCTTGGAACCCCCAAGACAAAATATCCAGAACCTAGACTTTCTAGAAAGAAGTTCAGAAAAGAAGTAATCACAGAGATAGGAAATTAGGAGTTATTAACATATTGAGGATAGTTGAAACCATGAAATTTCATGAGTTTACTCAACCTAGGTCAGAAATAGAACCCCTTTGCACCACATTTCAGTTGGGGTTTCAGCTTCATCTTTCAGCTTATAAATCCTAGTAGCAAAAGCTACAGAGGGACCCATTTTAAATTTCAAATGGTAAAACAAATGGAGAGGCCCATTTCCTGGAGAATTCACAGAATCATGTTTCCCAGGATATACATTCCAAGTCCACATTAAAGCTTTTCATCTTGTATATGGACACTCTTATCAGTAGTCAGAAGACATCAGGATATTACATCTCTCCTGATTCACTCTCCCTGAGCCTCAGCTTCCTCGTCTATCAAATGGGAATAGTAATACCAACCCCTACATAGTGAATATGGTTTTCTCATACCCTATAGGTAGGACTAAAAATTGATGCAAGGGTTTTTTTTTTTTTATGTAATGGGGCTGTACATATCAAGAACTCTAAAAATCTGCATACTCCTTGGCTCTGTAATCCTACATCTAGAAAGTAACTTGAAATCTGGCAAGGATTTGTATATAAAATGTTCATCCCAACATGGTTTATAGTGATGGATGCTGAAAACTACCAGAAACTCTAAAAATATTCCACTGGCAGAAAATTATTCACCCATTTAAAAAAAATGATGTTCATGTATGCAATCGGACCTCTAGAATCTAGATCATTTTACAGGAAATACATAGTTCAAAAAATACGGTAAATGACAACACAGGGATATAATCAGCAAAATTTAGATTGTGGGAACTAAAATAAACCACCAGGTTTTATCAACAAATAAATTTGCAAAGGAAGAAAAGAGAGCTGGAGGGGTAACATAGAGATTAAGAAGAGAGTTTGATATGGTAACCAATTATAAGGTGTGGTTCTTATTTGAATCCTAATTTTTAAACAACTATTTAAAATGTTAATGCATTTATGATACTTTTGGAAATTTGAGTACTAGTTACTTGACGGTACTAAGGAATTACTGTTATTTTCAGTTGTAATGGTATTGTAGTTTTTTTAAATTCTTATTTCTTAGAGATACAAACATTTATTAATGAAATGACATAATGGCTTAGATTTGCTTATCCATTATGCAAGATAGTGTGGATGGGTAGGATTGGCCATGGTTGATTGTGGTCAGAGATGGATGGTAAATGCATGGGAGTCTGTTATCCTAGTAATTTTTTTTGGGGGGGGTTATGTTAAAACCTCTCAATAATACAGTTTTTCCATGATATAGAAAATGCCTAAAATAGTTGAATGAAATTCAGTTTACTATCAGTCATATAGAGAAAAAAATCAAATAAAAAAAAAAAAACAAAAGGAAATACCTTGAGTGCATATGTCAGTGTGTCGGTTTCCTTCATTATAAGATAAAGGTCTGGTGGTAACCATTTCATAATTCCCAATTTTAAATCTGTAGGAGATATTCAGTAGCCCAGGTAAATACATTTCCTAATATAAGAGGAGAAAAAGGGGGGCATTATATTGCATCTTCTAAGTAGTAAACTTGGAAAAAGCTCCAAACATGAATTATTCCTCAGATTTTCCTTACTTTTACAAAAAGGTGTACTGGCAAATGAATAGTGATGAGGATCATAGTTCACTTGTGAGCAGAAGCATCAATTCCTTTGCATTTATTGCTAAAAGTTAACATGTTGATGTTCAGAATTGCTGTATTCGAAGTCTTACCTTTTCATACATGTAAATACAGCAGCACTGAGTCCGTATACAATCTCTAAGCTAAGGCTGATTTATCTACAAGGTCATTTATAGTCTTAAAATACTATTTTCAATAATAGCTGTTTTGCAGGCTAATAAAAGAGCTATTATTTTTGGTCCAGTTTAATAAACAGCTCTGGAAAGCTGTTTAATGGGCTGAAAAGATGAAAGTGACTTCTTAAATGTTATTGTCAACTAGCAACACTGGTACTTTGCATAACAGAAAACAATTAGATTCTCACTGTTACACTCTTAAGGTGATAGGATTTTGAAAAATAGAGAATCTATATTTGGCACTAGAAATGGTAAAAGGTTGTTTAAAAAAAAGAAATTTAAAAAAAAAATAAAAATAAAAAAAAGAAATTTAGGTTGTTACAAGAGCGTCATCTTATTTTCTGAACCCCCACATTCTAGCAAATTGGGCTCTCTGGTACTTTAAAAAGTATTGCTTTTCAAGAGTGTTGAGGTAACTATAAATCAGTTCAACTGTTGGACAGACGCTTTAGACCACTAAAAATGATCAGATAATCATTTTTGCTCATCTTCCTTGAAAAATAGCATCAGAATAACCAAAAGAGGCAAGAGAATCACTTAACAGAAATAGTTGATTATTCAGGACTAAATCTAAGGAAAGTATTACTTGAGATGCTTTACCCAAACCTGTGTTGCTTGCTTGGTAGCGGGGTCTAAGCCTGTGTTTTTAAAACTTACCTTTGAAGGTGAAGATATTGCCAGTCTATGCAGACTGATAACACACGTTTCCCCCTTTATCTAGCTATGTGGTGAACATAGGTCTGATCAACAAGCTTCATGGCTGCTTCCTCTCGGTACAAGGACCAGTGGACGAGAATCCCAAGATGGCCACATTTTTGCAGCACGCTGCAGAACTCTTGCATGGAATGTGCACACTGTGCTTTGCTGTCACCAGAAGGTAAGGCTTCTACTTAATATCAGTGTGGACTCAACTTTGGGAACTTCCCTTAAATTTTGCGCATCTTGGGATCATTTCATAGGAATACAAGTGGTCATGTTGGCTTCTTTTCTTCTTTAGGTCACCTTTGTCCTTATTGGTCTCCCATATTGAGACCAGCCTTCTGTTTCTTGTTTTTTCCTGACTACATGCTCCGGTTAGAGCCTGTTTTTCTTGTTGGTATCCTACACTTAACTACACTTCATTACTGGAAGAGATCTTAGGGGTCATCCAGTCCCACTTCCATGGAAATTCAAAGGAATCCAGTGATTCTCCATGAGTCAGTGAGTCAGTAACAAAGCCTGTACCAGACCAAGCCAGACCCTCAGCACAATACAGCACGGCCTCTCCTGGTGTCCATGACTGGGTTCACATGCTTTTACGGACAGCCTCCTAGGGTTGTGTATTTTCCCCTTTTGTCTCTTTCTCCAAGATGCCTTCATGAATAAGGAAAGGGAACCATCCAAAAAACCAGCTCCCTCGAGTTACATTTGGCCTATGTGTAGGATGACCGAATCAGGTAGAGGCCAGTGGCATGGGTAGTGAAAGAACTCACCCAAGGCAGGACAGAGGACACAGAAGTTTATTGAAAACACTGCAAGGGAGCAGCGGGCAGGACAGCAAAGGAGAGACTGTCAGCCGTGAGGTGGGGGCGGAGGGGGGTGTAGTTAGGGGGAAGTGAGGGGGGATGGGATGGGAACGGATGGGATTTGGTTTGGGTCCTGTGCCCCGTTATAAGCAGCCCACTGGTCAGCTGGGGCTGATGGGTATTCTGAGGTGAGTCACTTAATGAGCCTGTTTGCATTCCACTAGGGGGCTGGGGGCCGTATGGGTGTGATTATAGCCAACGTGCCAGGGACAGCTGCCGGCCTGGTGAGCTCCTTAGACGCCTCGCCCCATGCTGTGAACTGCCCTCAAAAGCAGTAGCTCTCTTGGGGAGGGCAGAGGAAACCCCCCCCTCAATTGCAATAGTGTTTCTAATAGGAATATGACATAGCCCTCAGGCATATTAAGAATGTTCAGTAAAATAACTTTCTTATAATTAAATCTAAATAGCACTACATATAATTTCTCTAAAGATTCTATTTATTTATTTATTTGGCAGAGAGAGAGGGAGAGCAGGAGCAGGGGGCAGGGGCAGAGGGAGAAGAAGAAGCAGACTCCCCGCTGGGCAGGGAGCTTGATGGGGGGCTCCATCCTGGGACCTTGGGATCATGACCTGAATAGCTGAAGGCAAATGCTTAACCGACTGAGCCACCGAGACACCCCACGTATAACTTTTTTTTTACTGCAACCCTGTTTATTTATATTTCATATACTCTTCAAACATACACAGAAGGAGAGAGTACAAGAACGAATAGCTCCAACTATTAGCAATATTTTCCCAGTCTTATTTCATCCCCCCACTCACCCCCTGGGTTTTTTGTTTTGTTGGTTTTTTGTTTTGGGAGAGGGAGGTTATGGCAAGAGCATGTTACAACAACTTTCAGATACTCATTTCACCCACGATACTTCAGCCTGCGCCTCTGAGGTGTTGAACACGAGTGCCCCGCATTGTCACACCTGGTGTAATAAGCGATAATCCTGTGGGGTACCTACCTAATCCTTGTTCACTGCTCTCCACGGTCTCAGCGTCTTTCTACCATAAGTTTCTTGGATTCAGTTCAAATTTCAGGTGACATTTGGTTGTTAGAAGACAAAAGTCAAGGAAATAAATGTTATGCATTGCTAATTTTAAATGCACTTGCAGTATGGTGTCTATTTTAATAGAAGTATTTTTATCTGATTTTTGCTATTTATTATCCTTTCCTGCTTTTCAGGTTGAGGAGGCATTATACATGTTCATAAGTGTTTTTATTTCCTTCTGATATAAAATTCTTACTTTGTTCCCATCGAAGGAACTCTTTAAGAATAAGGCAAAAGTTAATTCAACTATTCTTAAAATGTCTTCACACTGGAGCCTGATTCACTTAAGTCAATTTTCAAAATAAATCTTATTGATTAGAAAAAAAACAAAGATTTATAGGGAAATTGAGAAGATAGTACAGAGAATTCGCATGTACTTGCACTCAATTTCTCCAATTATTGATATCTTATATTAGTACGGTACAAATATTAGCTAATGAATCACTATTAAAATATTCGCATTAACCAAAAACCATAAAAAATGGTTAAGTTCAAGAGGAAATAGATGTTGGGTGTTAAAGTCTATTCTAAGATGATCAAATTGGAGAAAAGTTATTAAAACTGTATGACTGGATCTGGTCTTAGACTTTTAAATAAGTTTAAGACAATAGGATTGCTGCAGGTGGCAAGGAAACAACTTCCGGTAAGTTGTGTGTTGTTAATCTTGGATGGATTTCAGCAAGAAGCAAACTTAAAGACCCATGGGGTTCATCTTCTCTTGTGGAGGCTGAATGGATGGGAGGATAAGACCACCTTTCTTATGCAAGAGAGCAATCTCTTCCTTTAAGGCCAAAATCCTTTCTGCCTGGAGTTTGATCAGTTCAGCGACCTTCTCTTTTGCCACAATGTCTGCTTTCCGAGGGCCCTTAAGTCTCTTTAATTTTGTAAAAGTTCCCTTTCCCCTCTGCCTTTATTTTTATGCCATTGATTTGTTCGAGAAAAAAACTACATGGTTTTTAAAGGAGTTGTCAAGAAGAAAATTAAAACTGGGGGATCCCTGGGTGGCTCAGTGGTTTAGCACCTGTCTTCGGCCCAGGGCTTGATCCTGGAGACCCGGGATCAAATCCCACATCAGGCTCCCTGCATGGAGCCTGCTTCTCCCTCTGCCTGAGTCTCTGCCTCTCTCTCTGTCTCTGTGTGTCACGAATAAATAAATAAATAAATCTAAAAAAAAAAAAAAGAAAATTAAAACTTATTTTAGTTCAAAAATCAAATTTTTGAAACTTCTAAAGTCTACCTGCTTCAAGAAATATCCATCCATATTCTATGTACACAGAATGCCAGTGACTACGTTCAGAATATTCTAAAAGAATTTGCTTTCTAAAATGAACCTCCTCAGTATTTTTTAGTCTGTTACACAGAGGACGCTGCACCCCACCTCTACCCCAGTCACATTTCTAGAAAGATTGAGACTACCTGAATGTCCGGGAAGCTAAGCACGGCCTATATTCAGCGTTCCCTCCTAGCAGTGCAGACGGAGCTGCCTTCCAGGATTAGATGATAACCCAGGACGTGGCTGTCTGTGGGTCTGTAACCTAAATACGCTGAGGTGGCCCTGCGTCACCGGAGGCTGGCAGCAGTCACGGGGCCGCACTCCGGGCCTGGCACCTGCCGACGTGGGGTCAGCCGTGCCCTGGCTAGCTCCGGCCAGTAGCCGCCTTGCTCCCTGGGAGGTTCCCTCACTCAGGAGACCCCTTCCCACGGCGCTTCTTTTCATCACGCAGCATCGTAAACCTGCCAGCGTCTCAGGTCTTTGTTACCTGTGTTCTTCCCTTAAATCCAGATGAGTGCCCCACACCTAAGCGTTTCCATATGTGGTTGGTGAGTTGGTGGGCTCCCGCTTTCACCTGCGCAGATTTAGTCGCTTGAAATCTGGGGCTTGAAAGCAGCTTGGAGCTCATTCCCAGCACTCCCTCTTATAGGGAAAGCAACGGAGCCAAACTGGAACCAGCCTCCAGGATTCCTGCCTCAGTGCTCTCACCTACACGCTTGACCTTGCATGATTCAAATCGTAGGAGCATACTTCTCATTTCTTTGGAGATTTTCTCAGTTATGTATATGGAAAACAGGATCCCCTTCTCTGTAACACACTCAGCCATGTTGTCTTCCGGTGGACGTTGACGGAGCACCTGCCTGGGCCAGACACCAGGACAAGGACCCAAGATACCGCCTCCGGGAGCCCAGAGCCTGGCCTCAGGGCAGACCCGTAAACTAGCAGCTGCAGCAGAAGAGGATGTTCTCCCAAGGAGGTCAAGAAAGGAGGCAATGGACTAAATCGTAAGGGACCCAGGAAGACAAGTGGATGCGACAGAAGGGGCCGTAATATGCGCACTGTGTGAGAGAGCAGACGTTCTGGGTGCCTCTGGCCCCCGGAGGTCACCTGCCAACAGATTCCTATATTTCTCTGCCTGAGGATACTCTCTGGACAAGTAGCTGTTGGCTACAAGTGCAGGAGAGTTAACAGCTCCGGGAGTGACCCTCCAGCAACACATGGGTGGATTTTGTCCCCACTCCCCCGCCTCGGTGAGCCCCGAGGGGTGTTCTGCACGGTGGGTCAGGGCGCGCCGGTGCCAACCTAGGCACTAACCCATCCTTGATCGGCTTTCTCCCTCCCCCTTCTGTCCTTGGCTTCCTCACAAATAAAGTACTTGCGCCCAGAGCCTTATTTCAGGATCTGGTCTGGAAGCAGCCCAGAGCAAGAGACATGGGTGCACAGGGTACTCTGGACTGTACAAGGGACATCTCATTCAGTCTGATGTGGCCGTGCGGCGGGGTGACTACAGGGAGTGGCAGAAGGCGCAGCAGTACACCAACCCCATGATGGTAGCTCCTAGGACTTGAGGTGCTACGCTGGAGCTGCAGAAAGCCACTGAAGTTGTTGAAGATTTATGATTACAGATCAGATGTATGGTACAGAGGACTGTAATGGCATGACCCCAGAGGTAGAAGGAATCATAGAGAGACGCTTGGAGCCACGTGGGGAATGTTGAGGGCCCGTGGGGGCAGCGGAAATAGGAGCAAACACGTGAAGAGGAGAAAGAATAAGCATAAGAGAGGCGGCATAGAGCTTGGTGACGTGGGAGGTAAAAGGGAGGGAGGAACTTTAAATGGCTCCCAGGTTTCTGACTTGAAATCTGTGAGTGATAGATGATATCCTCTCCAAATTAGGGATGAGCAGTTTTCCATAGAGGAAATACGCCTAAGGGCTATCCAAGGAGACCAAAGTCTTTGTATATATATATGTATTGTTTTTATAGACATATACAACTGGATTT